AAAAATAAAAAATAAAAAGATAACATGGCATTTGTGAAAGGATAAACAGGTCAAAATAATAGAGTTGAGATCACAGAAATGACAACAGTAAGAGAGTCAATTGACCTTTGGCCAGGTAGCCATGGGAGGGAAAAACATCTTTTCAGCACATGGTGCTGGAATGGACACCTTTGTACAAACAACAACAAAAACAAAACCTCTTAGATTTTATATCCTTCAGAAAAACTACAAAACACTGAAAACAGCAAAAGCTTGAATGGGATGCAAAGCAAAAGGAAAATGAAAAATGCTATAACTACTTTGGAAGACAGCTTGGTAGGTGTTCTTTTGTTTGCTTTTCTGTGTTTCTTGATCTAGTACTGGGGACTCAACCCAGGGAATCACACATGCCAGGCAAGCATTCTACTACTTAGCTCCACCTTTAGCTGGGCAGTGTCTTGCCAACTAAATGTGCATACCACATGATCCATCAACAGCATTCTTGATATTTACACAAATGAACTGAAAACTATGTCCACATAAAAGCCAGAACATAAATGTTTGTAATAATTTTATTCATAACTATCAAAACTTGGAAGCAACCAATGTCCTTGAGTCGGCGAATGGATCAATAAACAGCGCTACATCCAAAGGAACATTATTCAATGCTAAAAATAAATGATCTATGAAGCTATAAAAATACATGGAGTAAACTTAAATGTACATTACTAAGTGAAAGAAGTTAGTTTGAAAGCCTACATGTTGTATGACTATATAACATTCTGGAGAAGACCGAACTGTGGAAATAATATGGACATGTGGTTTCCAGGGATGTGGAGAGATGAAAGATTTTTTAGAGGAAACTATTTTGTATATTATGATGGGCACGTATCATTAAGCATTTCTCAAAACGAGGAGAATGTGCGATACCTACAGTGAACTCTAAAGTCAATTGTGGAGTTGGGGAAACACTAACATGCCAACCTAAGCTCACTAAAGGTAATAAACATGCTATCTGGTTTGTAAAGAGGCCTTGACTATGTGGAATCAGAGTTTCTGAAAACTTCTCTGGCACTTTCCTAAAACTGCTCTTAAAAGTTTATTTTAAGCCTTGAGTAGTGAGCAAGACCGTAATCCCAACACCCTGGACAGGCTGAGGCAGCAGGATCACAAATTCAAGTCCAGCTTGGGCAAGGTAGTAACTGAGTGAGATTGTCTCAAAAAATTAAAACAAATTAACAACAAAAATGACCCACAAACATAAAACAAAATAATAAACAAAGGGCTGACTGTAGCTCAACTCGAAGGTCATGGGATCAGTGTCCAGGATGGAGTGTGTGCAAAACCAAAAAAGTCTAGATTGAGCCTTTGATGCAACTGAGTGTAAAGGTAAGTCTCTAATCGAAAAAATAACCTTGCATTAGAGAATCTTTTAAAGGACAAATTCTATCTTGAAACACAAACCTACAGTAATTAAATCCCCAAGAAAACGGGCAAATTCTATCTTGAAACACAAACATATAGTAATTAACTTCTCAAGAAAACTTACGGTGAGAGCTTTGGTGACTAAATTCTATGGACACATGCAGAATCTCATGGTGAAACTGAAACAGTTTTGGATTAAATTTTTATCTTTTTGTTGTTGCTGGGTTTAGTTTTTTAAAGGAAGAATGCCAGCAGAGGCTGTACATTCAAGTAAGATTTTTTTAAAAAGTGAGAGTTAACATCTTTTTATGTGGAGTTTCCACAATGCTTCAAAGAGGAGGATGGCGAGGTCTTCACAGTCCAGGGCTTCTCAGAGTGGTGTGGCAGCTCGAAGCCCTGGCAGAGAAAGGTGAGGCTGTTCGCTGGTGACCAAGACATTTAGAGTCCCAGTCACAGCAGGACTGCCTTAAGCAGCGCCACTGCCAGGGAAGACGCGGTGAGAAGAGCCTAGGTCGAGGTCTGGCTGGCTGCCGGTGCCTTGGCCCTCGGTGTGCTGGGTCTGTCTGCTCCCGGGCCTGTGCTGGGGATGGCGCTCTTGCGACCCAGCGGAGCGCTCCGGAGGGTAGGGGGGCGACGCGCGGGGTCGGTCCTGGCTGTCGGCCCTGCGCATGGGGCCCGGCACGGGCTCGCGCCCAACCCTGGAGTGCTGTTTTCTGTAGTATTCCACCAGGCTCCGGACGGAGTTGCTCAAATTGGGGCCCGGCTGCGGGGGCGCATCGGACAGCAAAGGGGCGCTCTCCTGTGGGGGCGCGTCCGAGGGGGCGGAAGCCCGGGGCTCCAGTCTGGCAGGACCTCCCGAGCGCCGGGAGGCGGCGGGGTCCCGCGGATGCACGCGGCCGCCATGGCCGGCATGCCGCGGGCGCTCAGGCCGTCGGTGGGCGGCGCGGCGGGGCGGGAGGTTCACGCCCCAGGCGTCCGCCACGTGCGCCAGCAGCAGCTGGGACATTCGCCGGTGCGCGCGCTCGTCCCAGTGCAAGCCGTCGCGCAGCCGGTGCTGGGCGGCGTGGCGGAAGTGGAAGTGCAGGTCCAACAGGTCGAAGCCTCTCCTGGCCGCCTCCACCGAGCTGTAGAAGTTGGCCTCGATCACGTCCTCGCGCAGGCGCCCCGAGCTGGCCGGGCCCGCAGGCGGGAGGAAGCCGTCGGCCACGACGTCGGCCACCGGCAGGGCCGTGTTCCACACCAGCAGGCAGTGGTCGGGCAGCACGCGGTCCATGCGGCGGAACAGGCACTCCAGGTCCTCCCGGTACCTGCTGGGGAAGTGGCGGCCGTGCCGTGAGACGTCCCACAGGCACGAGTTGAGGACCACCAGGTCGGGCGCGTGCTCGCCGCGGCGCAGCTCCGACAGCACGTCCTCCAGGTAGGCCGAGTAGGCGCGCGTGAGGAAGTAGAAGCGCACCAGGTGGTGGCCCGAGCAGAACTGGCGCACCTCGCGGTAGTAGATGTCGTTGTGTGTGCGGCTGCAGCTGCCGCCGTCCAGCAGCACGTCGCGCTCGAAGCTCAGCTCGCCCTTGGCCTCGAGCTGGCCCGAGGACAGCAGACGGTTCTTCTGCAGCAGCAGCACCAGGTCCTTGTACACTGTGCGCTGGATTGAGTCGCCCATGACCACCACGAACTTGTTGTGCAGCAGCTGGCGGACTTCGCGGGTCCGCAAGTGCGTCATGGTGGGCAGGGCGGGCGGGGCGGCCTGGTTCTTACCTTTTCCGGTCTGGAGCGGGTTCGGGGTCAGAGCTGAAGCTCACCGAAGGAGAGGCACGCAGAGATCCTTCCGGCCTCGGCTGTGAGGCGTGGCGCGGTGGGGCAGTGCTCAGCGGAGCGCCCGCCCCAGGACGCGACCCCGCCCCGCCGAGGCTCCTGCCCAGCCCTGGCTCCACCTGGCGGAGCGGAGGTGCGGGAGCAGCCTGCACTGCAGCTTTGCGGTGGTGCAGGGTGCTCCAGGATGCGCGCTTCTTCGCAGGGCGCGACCACAGCTTCTGTGTGATCAGTGTCTCACCGACAGGGCTCACTGCCCTCATCGGGATCCCTCTCATTGCTTTTGGCTCTTCCTTTTGCGTCCATTGTCCATTGGCGCGTGGTTTCGTGCCTGGCTTAACTTCTCCATGGCCCACTGCTGTACTTGTGGCCTTTGGAAATGGCCACAGTGTGGGGGGTGCCGTTCCCAGGGAAAGAACCCAGCCTGGCAACTGACCTACTGCCAGGTTTCCAAGACGTGGTGGGCCATCTATGTGCGTCCCTGTGAACACTGTAGAGCTCAACACTGTTTCTCTTATTTAAGCTTATCACAAGCGTATGTACGATAGACTTACCTGTGGTGGTAAAATAGACTCCCGTGTATAGTTTACCCATTTTCCCCCACGGGTGATGTCACTTATAACTGCTGTCCCTTGCTTGTGTCCTGAACCAGTAAGCCACTTTCCGCAAGGATTCTGCCTGTTGTCTTTTCCTTGTATGATCAACTCCTTCCAGTTCCATTCCCCAAGCCTGGCCACCAGGAAACTACTCCTCATTTACACAAATTTGATATGTCAAGTATTCGATATAGGTGCAACGGGAGTCGAGGGAGCTCTCTGTTTTCTCAGCATGGTTCTCTGAAGATTCATCCAGCACGTTCACTTTATAATCTCTGAGCACCTATTTTCTAGGTCAGGAAGTGTGTTTCCTGGTGGTATAAATACTTTGTTCCGTTTTTATTACTAAGCTCTCTTCAGTGGTGTTGATGTTCCACAGTTGCCTTAACGGGGTTGTTTGTCATTTTTGACTGCTATAAATCATAGTGTTGCCAGCATTTCTGTACAGGTTTTGCTTTTTTTTTTTTTTTTTTTCCATCTTGTGGTGGAGTTTGAACCCAGAGCCTTGTGCATGCTAGGCAAGACCTCTGCCACTGAGTTATATCCCCAGCCCTCTGTATACTTTGTATAGATTTTTGTGAAAACCAAGACTTTTATTTCTCTGGGGTAAGAAATGCCCACACTATTTTCCAGAGTGGTTGTACTGTTTCACATTTCAGTAGCAATGCATGAGTAGTGAGTTTCCTTCTCTCCGAGGTATACTTATTTGCATTCCCTGGAATCCTTCAAATCTTTCCCCAAGCAAATGAAATCCACCCTTGGAAGTCAGAGTCAGGAATGAAT